AGTCACCCCCACCCCAAAGAGCAGGGTCTCTGAGCTGGGGAAGGACCCAGACGCCACCTGAGCCACCCACCCACACCCAGCCTGTGACTTACACGCAGGCTCTCACACAGCTGTAGGAGGCCTTGGGAATTAAGAAGGCCACCGTCTTAAACCAGGAATGTGATCTCTGTCCAAGCTCGAGACCCTACATCTTTGTACCCAACCTTGCCACCCCATGCAAGGCCTGCCAGGGTGTGAGCGCTCAGTGTGTGAAACGACCGACTGACCAACCGAACAAAAGGAAAGGAGGCCCCATGTGGGCTGGGTGATTTGAGGCAGCCTGGTGAGATGCAAAGAGAGCTGAACCTGATTCCAGTCCTGGGTCTGCCACCTCACCCCCTGAGGAACCCCTTTTCCTAGTTGGGCCAGATGGGGCCCATTTTACCCCATCTGCAAATTGGAGCAGCAGAACTGGACCATCTTCAATGGAGCAGTTTCACACTCTGTTAACCTGGGCAGGCAAAGGGAACAGGCAGGGCTGGACCAGGCTGTGTAGCTGGAGAGCACTAGTGCCCAGCACAGGGCAGGTGCACACGCTGCTGCCCAGCAGAAGCCTCTTCCTGGTCTCAGGTTTGGGCATGGAGCATGAGGCCTTCGACAGTCACCTCCCCAGCCCCTCGTCATACCTGACAACCACCTCAGAGGTTTGTACAGGTCCCAGAGAACTCAGGAAGACACAGGCCAGAGAGCATCCTTGTTTCTGTCTGTTTCAGAATTAGTGCAAACCACAGGGTGAACAGCACTGTGCTGTGGAGATGGTACCACAATATTTTCATGATCAAAAAAGGATACTGTTCTGAGCTCCACTGTGTGACTTAAATGTCAAGATTTCTCTTGTCAGAGGAGATACAATGACATTCTGGAAGCTAAGTGTGAAATATGATTCTTCCTCCCATAAGAGCTGCCATTATCTCTGGGGGTGAGGGGATAGGGACAGTTCTAAATGAAGCCCCTTGGAGGAATAGACGGGCACTGGGCAGCAACTCCAGCCAGTGTGGCTCTTTAGTCCTGTTCAGGTCAGTGACCCTGGGCAGCCATTAAGCGCCCTGTACCTTGGTTTCTAACCTAAACACCACATATAAACCCATACCCATTCCTCATCAGATTGCTGGAAGGATAATTCATCAGTTTTTTTAGTAGTAAAAATTTTAAACAAATAAGTAAAAGAATAAGAGCTAACATTTGCTGAGAACTTTCTACATGTCGTCAGGCATCCTAAGCACTTTATATACATTGTCTTTTAATCTTATAGCTCGTGAATGAGAAGGGAATTAGGATTATGCCCACTTTACAGACAAACACACTAAGGGTTGAGGAAGGCAGACAATTTACCGTGCTTGTGGTAGAAGTGGGAAATGAATGCAGCCCCTACTTCTTGTGTCAGGCATTGTACTAGGTGAATGTGATCTAGATTTTGTGCTTCAAGGACTTTATAATTTAGTGAGAGAAATAGCATAGGCACAGATGGTGAAAAAAATGAAAACAAGAGTATTTGCAACCCAATAAAACCTCATACAAGTTCAAGGCATCAGTTCTTTGCTGTTGTCTCATTAACTTACAATATATTTTAGATATACAAGTATACACATGCACACATTTTATGTGTTTATAAATATACGGGTTTGTGTGTGTGTGTGTGTGTGTGTGTGTGTGTGTATCTACTAACATGGATGGGATTGTTCATAGACTTTCTCAGTGAACTTTCTAACCCTGTACTGTCCAGTCTCCCCCATCCTTTCTGCCAGGGTCTGAGTTTAGGACAGTTCAGCCAGACAAGTTTCTCTGCTTTTGTGATGCAGATGGAGTCTGGGCAGGGTAAGGAGGAAGGGGGAAGGGGGAAGGGGGAAAGACTCAATTTGAAAAGGTTAAGACAATTTACATAATAATGAGCTGGAGGGTGAGGAAAGAGGGAGAGAGGGAGGAGAGACAGAAAGGGAGGAAGGAAGGAGAGGGGAGCCAGGGAGAGATGGAGGAAGAGGAAGAGAGAGGAAGAGGGAGGAAGAGATGAAGAAAGGGAGAGAGGGAGAGGAAGAGAGGGGCCCACTTATCAGTGGAGAGGAGTGGGCAGAGGGAGATGGGAGGGAAAGGTGGGAGAAGGAGGAGGAGGACAAGGGCAAGAGAGCGGAAGCCCTGTGGGCTGGGGGTAGAGAGGGTCTTTGGGAAACTTGGGGAGATGAACCTCTCAAGAGAGTGGGGGTGGGACAGACATGAGGAAGACAGAAGACTATATGAGAAAAGCGATGAGAGTTGTCCTTTGGACCCCTTTTCATCTTTTTAGAAAGATTTAGTTTTCCTCATATGTACCCCTAATGGGATTCCTTTAGACGTTCTGCCTGATTGTATGGTGCCTATTTAAATGGGGCTCTGCTCTGGACCTGAATCACACAGATTGCAGTTTCACTATGTTACAGCTCTGTATACATACGGATATATTTTGTACTGCATGACCTTGGGCAAATCACTTAGTGTGGCTGCACGTCATTTTTTTTCACTTATAAAATCGGGGTACCATTACAACCCACTGCACAGGGAGTTGTTAGTGTTAATAATTAATTCCTGTAAACTATTTAAAACAGGCCCTGGAACACGGAAACTGAAAGTTTCAGTTCTGAGTCTGTCTCTGGAGACCCCTCCCATCTGGAAACCCATCAGGCTGAAACCTGACTAACAACAGTGGCCCCATCTCCTGACTTTCTGCCTGAGGGTTTGCCTTGTCCCCAGTCATCCTGGCTGGTCAGGCTAGAGTCTCAGTTTCCTGATCCTTATCCTTTTGCCCCAGTAGCCAGTCACCAGTCTTTAATATATCATGTTCCTAGCGATTCCCAAGCAATCATCTCTCTACTCAGGATAATAAAATGGGGAAAAAAATCCCACAGGAACAATGAATATCTCCAAACTGAAGAGGAAGTGTTTCAGCATCACACTCACACAGACTCTCTGGGTTGTGATGGGGCAAGAGATCAGGGAAGGAAGTATCAGTTCAGGGGTAGACATGCCAGCGAGCACACACTCGTGGAAGATCCCAAAGGCTGCGCGCTGCGCGCTGCGCACGTGTGTCTGTGCATGTGCACAGGGGTGTGCTGTGGACACGTGTCTACCAACTGGTTCACTGAGATTCAGGCACTCTGCTCTCCCTTAGGCTAAAAGGTAGACAGAGAGCAAAGGCCCATGGCCTATTCTGTGTGTGGAGACCAGACCAGGCATTTCCTGCTCTGGGCTTTAATGCCAGAGTTAATTAAAATGAGTTAATACATGTAAAGCGCTTAGCACAGTGCCGGACAGCTAGTAAGTGCTCCATTAATACTGGCTGTTTATCAGAGGAGAGGAGGGTTTCAGGCTAAGGGAAAAAGTGAAGGGATTAAAAACAAACAAAAAAGCCACTGCCCCGCCCCTCCACTCCCCACACAGACAACAGTATAGTGATTAAGAGAGGGAAAGGGGAGTTGCAAGAGGTAGAAGAAGGTAAAGGGGGGGACAGATGGTGATGGAAGGAGACGTGACTTGGGGTGGTAAACACACAATACAATATACAAATGATGTACTGTAGAATTGCACACCTGAAACCTATATAATTTTATTAACTAATGTCACCCCAATAAAGTCAATAAAAAGAAATAGTACCTGTTTGTTACGACTGTGGCCATTATTGCTAAAATGAATGAAGCCCTATAAGCACCTTGGCTATTCTACCGATCTGAATAGGTATTTGCTGACTGACTGCTTTCTCAGACACCATTCCTAGTGTGCTCATTCTGGTGCCCCCAGCAGCCAGCACAGTGCCCGCTTCAGCAGGAGCAGCACCCTCTTCCCACAGGCCCTGGCTCTCTGACCCAACCAAAGCCGTCCCCTGGAGAGAAGTGCTTCCTCCACAGAACCAGCAGGGAGCCCTCCTGCCAGCCCAGCTTCCCCATCCCACATCCCGCTGGCTTTGGACACACTCTGTCACCCAATTCCCCTGTATCTGGAGGAGCCAATTCCTGAGCTGGGTCGATTCTGTACCATGGAATTACAATTCTGTGCATAAATATTTAATTTTACATTTAAAGCTATTTGTTACAGATGAGTTCTCTGACACCAAGGAGGTGAGGAGAGTTTTCCTCTACGACGGAGGTGATTTTTAGCAAAGACAGGGTAAGTGTATAACGCACAAGCAAATCACACAGTAATCAGGGATCAAGGCTCTCCATCCAGAGGCTCCAGGTGGGGCCTCTACCTGCTTCCCTTCCACACTCCACGTACCTCCCACCAGAACACAAAGAGCAGCTTCTGGATAGAATTCCCTGAGGCTGTTTCTTTCCCTCCCTTATATTTAGCTTTGTCAGTGTAGCTACATAAAGTTCAGCCTTACAGTTAATGCAGATGTTCGCAAATAAGAGGCTTTTATATACTCATTCCATCCACCACTGATCAGACACCTGCAAACTCAAGTGAAAAACAGTCCCTGTTCTAGGAAGTCCACTTCCTATAGGAAGGGGAGCCCCTTAGATTCTCAGACTCACCCCTGAGAGGCAGAAAGCATAAATTCACATGGCTACCCTCACCCCCAAACAAGACATGGAAAGCTCTCCTAAGGCAGGGTTGGTGGCCAGGTAGGGCAGTTAGATTTAAGAAACATGTTCTCTGTTCAGTTTAATTGTCCAGAGGCAAGCACTGCACACCGTTGTGGGAGTCCCGACTGAGAACAGTCACCAACCCTTCTCATTACAAAATGAGCCCTGGAACTCTGAGGCTGTTGTGTTTGTTGGCGACTTTGCTGGGAAGTTTGCCTACCAAAGAAGCCCCCTGTTTGCATTTGCCAGGTATGAACTGGCATTCTGGCTTAGGTGGGTGACTAGCCTTCCCTTGCATATACAGCATAGTCTCTTCTTGTTCCTGTGAGGCAGCCTGGCATTATCATCAGGACACAGTAGGGTACCAAGACAGGCCCTCTCCTTGCTGTGCCCCTGGGCTCAGCGGCCTACCTTTCTCTCCTTGTCACCATATTCGATGCCCAAAGTGTCCATAGCCCGGACGATGGCTGCCAGGGACTGGATGGTGTTGCTGTAGACCACAGGCTTGTACTGCTTCACGTCTTCTCCAGAAAAGCCATCTTCGTGGATGATCCTGGAGAAAAACCACACACACCACTGAGTGTACTGTCCTCACTTGGCAGAGAGCAGGGCGTGAAGCCCCGGGGTCAACCTCGGGCTTAGCTGGCTGAGGGCCGGGTCCAACTCAGGTGCTGAATTACTAAGCTGCAGCATGGGTGCCATCGATTTGGAAGGAAAATCTACTGAAATTACTGAAACTTAATCTGCAAAACAGAATAGTGGGAAAAAGGAAACACAGTCTCTTTATATTCCCTGAACATGTGAAAGAAACATCAGTCAGCAAAGTGTCAATAATACTTGAAAGAACTTGGAATGGGAGGGACACACACTAAGCACTTAAGTGTTAGCCATCAGAATTTTTAAGCAAAGCTCAGGGTCTACAATATCCAGTTGGGAGTGTGTAGCCTATAAGCCCCCGAGAGAAGCCTGCACAGAAATACTTTTCTTTCACAGAAGGTAAGAGGACTCACTCAAAATGAACCATCTTCATTTAAAAAATGCTTTTATTGATTTTTTAAAGACAGAGGAAGGGAGAGAGATAGAAACATTGATTGGTTGCCTCCTGCACAGGGGATCGAGCCCACAACCTGGGCATGTGCCCTGGCCGGGAATCGAACCAGGACCTCTCGGTCCATGGGATGATGCTCAATCCACTGAGCCATACCAGCTGGGCCCATCTTCATCTTTCTCTCTCTCTTTTTAATCCTCACCCAAGGACTTTTTTTTTTTTCCATTTTTTGTTCAGATAGAGTGGGAGGGAGAGAGAGAGAGAAACATGGATGTGAAAGGGACATCGAATGGTTGCCACCCACACGACCAACCAGGGCCGGAGACAAACTGCAACCGAGGTATATGCCCTTAGCAGGAACTGAACCCAGGTCTCTGGACCGCAGGCCGACGCTCTAACCACTGAGCCAAACCAGCCAGGGTCCATCTTCATCTTTGACAACAGAAAAGTCAATGGAAGAATTCTGCCTACTCTTCCGTCCTCGGCTGGGATTTGACCATCATGTCACCCTTATTCTGGTGGCTCCGCGCAGTGACATGCAGGTCATGAAGGCAACATCACAGTTTCAGGGGCCACGTGCTCCTTGCCCTCCCATTCTTAGGTTTACCTGAGGTCAGAGTGAAGGCTACATGTGCCCTGATGTCCTTTCTCCCTGCAGATGGTGGCTACTCAATAAACGCTCACTGGTGATAAAGTTCCGGATAGGAAAGGAAGCTAGAAAGGGGATAAAACCAAAACTTCGCAAGAATCCTCTTATAGTTGAAGTAATTAAGAAAGAGCAATTGGCCCTGGCCGGTTTGGCTCAGCGGTTAGAGCGTCAGCCTGCGGTCCACAGAGACCCGGGTTCGGTTCCCGCTAAGGGCATGTACCTTGGCTGCAGTTTGTCCCTGGCCCTGGTTGGGTCGTGTGGGTGGCGGCCACTCGATGTGTCCCTTTCACATTGATGTTTCTCTCTCTTCCTCTCTCTCCTTCCCGCTCTGTCTGAGTAAAAAATGGAAAAATGTCCTCGGGTGAGGATGAAAAAAAAAAAAAGAAAGAGCAATTGGATTTCAAGACTAGCATCCAACATTAGTCATCTCCTAATAACCTGTGTGGTCGTCTTTTTCAGTCCGGGATTGAACACCATGAGAAACATGCACATATTCTAATACAACAGCTGCGGCTTCTCTTCCACCTCTCCACAGCCCCTTTCCATTCCTTCATTAGCAGAAGAAAATTGCTAACAATACTTTTTTTTTTTTAAACAGCCTTATTGAGATGTAAGTCACATCCAATCCACCCACTTAAAGTGTGCAATTCAATGTTTTTTAGTGCATTCACAAGGTTGGGCAATGATGACCACCATCTAATTTTAGAACATTTTTGCCCCCCAAAGAAACCACACCACTCCCCACCCCCCACCCCAGCAGTAAGTGACTGCTAATCTGTGTTTTGTTTTTATAAACTTGCCTATTCTGGGCATTACATATAAATAGAATCATATAAGATGTGGTCTTTTGTGACCAGTTTCTTTCATTTAGCATTATGCTTTTAAGATTCATCCATGTTATATCATGTATCAGTACTTCATTTATTTTTATTGGATATAGTCTGGCCAGTGTGGCTCATTGGTTGAGCATCGACCCATGCACCAAGAGGTCGCCAGTTCGATTCCTGGTCAGGGCACATGCCCAGGTTGTGGGCCCGATCCCTAGTGGGGGGCATGCAGGAGGCGGCCAAATGATGTTCTCTCTCATTAATGTTTCTATCTCTCCCTCCCTCTCCCTTCCTCTCTCTCTAAAATCAATAAAGAAAAAAATTTTGTTTATTTTTACTGGATATATCACATTTTATTTATCCATGTATCAGGTGATGGATACTAATGATTCCTGTTGCAAAATTTGACCTGGTCCTGGGCTGTGGGTCTTATCCTGAGTTTCTCTAAGAAACAGATCGGCATGACCCCCTCAACTTTTCATTGACCTTTGTTAGTCATAAATTCATTTTTGTACCAGTTTCTTGAGGGAGTACACACCCAGTCTGGACCAGAGGGATCTCAAAGGGACTTGTTAGCTCCCACTGTAAACAACTAGAAAATGGGACAAAGAATATGAAACAAGTGTTTTCAGACATTGGAGAGTAGGCAGCGCAGGACTGTGATCCTGGAGAGAAGGGAAACAAACATGGTGAATCCTATGGGTGCCTTGGCTCTCTGCCTGGAGGCCTTTATGAGACCACAGGGAAGACAGGGAGAATCCAAGCAGAGCGCAGTGGTCTTACTGAGCTGATGAGATGAAGGTTGGAGCTCAGGAGGGCTGACGAGACTGGGATTTGAGGGCCAGAGTATCAGAGAAAGAAAGTACTGGGGGGGGGGGGGGGACCTGAATAGAGGTCCCGCTGAGTCTTTGGCTGAGTAGGGTGAGACTTCACAATCTTGGCAAGGACCAAGTATCAGGTAGCTTAGAAGTTGAACACTTTCCAAAGCTTATCAAAGCTGGGAGATATTCAAGTTCTGACCATCCAGGCACATTTACTCTGTGCTAAGTGCTTTACACATACCACCTCATTTAATATTCAAAACAATTCTAGGAGACAAAAACTATTATTTCCCTTTTATAGATGAGAAAACTGAGGCTCAGAAGCTTTCAGTGGCATTCAAGGCCCTGCTCATGACCACCAGGCAGAGGCTGAGAGGCAGAGCTGCTGCTTCTACCCTGGGTCCCTATATCTAGGTTCCCTGAGAGTCCAGAGACCTCACACACAAAGTGAGCATCAGAACACTTTTTACAATGTCAGCCTGAGGCGTGTGAGGTAAGAAAAGAAGGCATCTGGTTTGAGGGTGGAGAAATACCCAGGGCAATCTGGTCTCTTGTGACAGCCCAGGTCTGAGTCCTGAAGGAGGCAAGGCCAGTACTGGGAGAGCAAGAGTGAGGCCGATGGGATACCTTAGCTATAGTCAGTGGCATCTCACACTGCCCTAGCCTCAGAGAAACCGATCTTCATCTACACAGCTGAGTGAGAGGGCAAAATCAAGTCCCGGAGATATGTATTTTGAGCCACTGGACAAAGTTAACTCTGTCCCTATACTTTTGGGTGATATGAGCCAAATAATTCCTTCTTATTTTTGTATAAGCTAATTTGACTTGTGTTTCTGTCACAACCAACAGAGTCATGACTGAAACACTCAATGTTTTGTACCTTGATGACAATGGTAGTCAGAGATCATCTCTGAATAGACTTGTTTATGAATTTTCTGGCTTTACCCACCAGCCTGTCAACCCTTGGAGGTCAGATGATCACACCCCAGTTTCCCTCTTTCCATACCACCTGGCACAGGCCTGGCTTGGGACAGCACTCAGAGAAGTGGGACACAACTACACGAGCCAGGAGCACACACATGCACAAGACCACCCCTCTCCAAGAAGCTCACTGCAGGAGGTGGATGTGTGCACATATGTATGCGTGCATGCCAGGGTAGGGATCCACCAGATTTTTACGCCTGCAGAGCCAGGGTAGCAAAGGGAAGCCAAGCTTGATGCCCACCCAAAACTCAGGGGCTCTGAGAGGTGTTCTGAGCCAATAAACCAGAAGAAATATGGGGAGTAAGCAAAGGCTGACTCTGCAGGCCTGAGTGTCCAACTTTGGACAGGAGCCACCAGCTGGACTCTGGGCAATGCAATGGGGGGAGATCCCAAGTAGAAATAGGGAGACTGGAATCAAGCCCAGTGGAGAGGGTTGGAGCTTTCTGGGAAGAGGAAACCAAGGAGGGACCCCTGGACTCCCTGAACTCAGCTCTTCTTTGCTGCCTGGGGACCCTGCAGGAGGCCTGGGCTTGGGCTTCCTTTGCTCTCTGCTCCTCCCTCTCAGTGCAAGACTGTACTCAGCTGCAGTGAGACTTCCCAGGCACAGTGGCCTTATATGGTCACAGAACCACAGGCTTGGAAGCTGGAAGGGACCTTGGAGAATCATCTGGCCCAGCAGCCATCCTCTGAATCACAGATGCCTCTGAGATTGGGACAATGAAGCCACACACAGTGTTGCCCCCAGTTTCTGGAGGTTCACAAACTCACAGACTCTCAGCTGCTGGAACATACAATTTTTCACTCCACCTCCCAGCTGGGTTAAATGCCCCTCTCTGTTTCCTTTTATCAGCACCCTTTCCCCTGCTCTGGGCCTCTCTCCATCCTCCACCACAGTCTCTTTAAGGATCCAGATAAAGGGGGAGCTGCTGGAGCCAGATTCGAGCTGTGTGACCAGGCAATGCCCTTAACTGCTTGGTGCTTCAGCTTCCTCAACTGTTCTGTGGAGATGGGCCTGGTAACAGTAATGATCGATTCTCATGGGGTCATGGTCAGGGTCGAGGAGAATGAACTCACACAGGAAGAGTGCCTGGCACAGTAAGCACTCAGTCAGTTTAGCTGGAATTGCTGTACTTGGTGAGTGGGGCAGGGGAGAAAGTGCAGTTGATCGGGTGTTCTGTACCTGTCGTCTTGAGGAGAGAAAGTGACCCAGGTGCACAGAGCAGG